CCAGTGGGACGGGGTCAGCTCCACGTCCCCCAGCCGGGCACATGCACAGCTCCAGAGGAGGGTTGGTGATGTCCCCACCCTGGCCAGCCCTGCCCTGGCTGCCTGGTGCTGATAGGCACCCACCTGACAGCATCGATTTTCCTCCTAAAGGCGGAGGAGAGAATTGCCTCAACTATAATTCCTCAACGTTACATTTTTCAATTATATCTTGAGCTTGACACCGCAGTCACTCTGCCAGCGATTGCCTCCACACCTGCCCCCGCCGTGATGAATCTGAAATCATTAGCCCCACGCCAACAGCGGGAATCGCTCCAGCACTGCAGCCGGTCCCGGTGCCTCCAGCCCTGCCCAGGAGCTGGGAGTGGGACGGGGACACACCAGCACATCTGCGGCACTGGTGACCCCAGGCTCGTGCCCGCGGGCATTGCTCCATCCTCGCAGCATTTCAGCCCTGATCCCACCTGCCTCCCACCTGCCCAGTGCAGCATCCCTCCCCATCCCTCCCCATCCCTCCACGCCACCCAGGCTCCCACCTCCAGCTCCTTGAAGAAGATGCAGCTCCGCGCCCACTCCACGATGGAGAAGAGGGTCTGGTCGGCCATCTTGCACATGAGGCCGAAGGTGCTGAGCTTCTCGTGCCGGCCTTTGCCTTGCTCCTGCTGCAGGCAGGCCAGAATCCGCGCCTTCACCTGCGCCTCGTCGGGCTCCAGCTGCAGCAGCTTCAGGATGACCTCGGGGATATCTGGGGGGGAGCTGCTGGGGTAGGTCTCTGGGTACACGTAGGCAGGCACGGACTCGTGCACGGTTGTGTAGTGGTCGGGGTACTCGGACTTGATGGTGCGGTTGGGGAAGGCGGGGTAGTGGTAGGTGGGGAGCGGCGTGTGGCTGGGGACAGTCATTCCCAGGGAGGGGGTCCCGTAGGGGCTGCGCTCGTAGTCGACGGGGGTCAGGGCGGCGGGGTTGGGCGGCAGGGTCTTGGACATGGCGTGGATGCTGTGGATGGTGGAGGTCAGGCTGTAGTCGTTCTGCACCGGGGACATGATCTGAGGCACGGTCTCCAGCTTGAAGCCGTTGGCGCGGATCAGAGCTTTCTTCTGCTGCTTTAAGGCACGGTCCCGCTTGTACATGGGCCCAAACTTGTTCCTCCCTCCGCGCATCCGGTCGGCACGAACGGCTGGGGGGCAGAAAGGGGCAGAGGCTGCAGTGAACCTGTGCTGAGGGACATCAGGGCTTCCATGTGGCACGGAGAGAAAATGATGGGGGGGGATTTGGTGGCCAAACAGGGCTGGGGGACACTGGGGACACCTTCCCAGAAAGCCACCGGCAGGACTGTGCCCCTCCCATGCACAACAGGGACGAGACATGGCAGGTTCGGGTGCCTGGCCCCTTGCTGGTGTCACCTTCAGAGCCTCTGGGAATTGAGGGGAAGGCAGAGATGTTCGGCTTGGACCATGAAACAGGCTGGGGGACCATGCACAGCCTTCCTTTCTGCAAATCTCTGCCTCTCTGACGGGCAGCTCGGCTGGCAGTTCCCCCTGGGCAGGCTGCACCCCACGGCACGGCTGTGCCAGCTTTGG